ACAAGTCTAGAGCTCTACCACTTGAGCTACAGCTTTACTAATGTTTTTTTGGTGATTAATTGGAGATAATCTCATGAACTTTCCTGCTGGGTTGGCTTCCATCCTCAGATTGCAGCCCCTTTAGTAGCAAGTATTACAGACATGAACCACCAATGCCTGGCCACAACGGCACTTTATGCTTAAAAATTCACTTTGATAGGGGCTGGGAAAGGTGGCTCAGTGGTAGAGTGCTTGTCTTGCATGCATGAAGCTCTAGGTTCAAATTCCTCAGCACCACATAAGCAAAAACAGCTGGAAGTGGCAGTATGGCTCAAGTGGTAGAGTGCTAGCTTTGAGCTGAAGAGCTGAGGGACAGCGCCTAGGCCCAGAGTTCAGGCCCCACAGCCCAAAATAAAAATAAAATAAAAAATAAATCACTGATGATGTTAATTACTGGGGCATTCACTAACAGCCAAAATTTATGGCTCTCATTTATTGGTCTCCAATGATGTATCAACGCTTGTTGAGAGCATTACTCTTATTTTCCTTTATATTATGAGCTACATTGCTTCCTCCCCCCCCCCATTATTTCCATGTTGAATATCTGATCCCTAGTATCTTAGACTGTTACTATATTTTGAGATAATGTCTTTAGCAGAGGTGATTGAATTAAAAGACTATTAGCACAGGCCCAAATCAAATTGAGCTATCCTTATATTAGGATATGCACATTAGGACCTGTGTTCTGAAGAAAACCCATGTGATCAGCATCGCAAACACCCAGGGGCCTCAGAAGAAACTATCATTGCAAACACTGTTGTGTGTGTGCTGATATGGGGGTTTGAATTCAGGGTCTAAATGCTCATTTGTTGTTTTCACTCAAGATTGGCACTCTACCACTTGTACCAGACTTATATTTTCTTTTTCTGACTTTTGTTATTTGGGGATAAGAGTCTCATGGACTTTTCTGCCTGGGCTGGCATTAAACTGTCATCAGATTTCAGCCACCTCACTAGCTAGAATGACAAGTGTGAGCCACTGGTGTCAGCTTACTCTTATTCTGTAAATAATTTAGGCTTAAGCCACAGCACACTCTATGTGCTGTGGACTAGGGGTAGCAGTGCAGATGGTGAAAACTGGTGGGTTTCTGACAAATTTCTGAGTCATCAGGATTTGTTGATGAATTATGTGCAAGGTATATAAGGGAAAGCAGAGTCAGATATCACCAAGTTTTCTGGCCTTGGCAGCTGGATTGGAGCTGGCATTGACTATGATGCAGTAGAATATAGAGGTCCTCAGAAACAACATTGGGAATATGGCCTCGGACACCCTGCTCCTAAGGTCTCTTTGATGTCACAACTGGATGAATCTGGAATTTCTGGGAGGTCTAAGGTAACAGTACATGCAGGAGTCACCAAGCATACTAGTAGTAGTTGAGGTTGCCAAGGAAGTGGGGGAGATACAGTATTAGATACAGCTGAACATGGAGGAGAGATTTAAGGAGTAGCCAGTTAAAAGACATCATTCAGATTCATCAATCTTACTGAGTAACAGGACAAAAACAAAAAGATCCTAACCAAGCACTGGTGGCTCATGTCTGTAATCCTAGCTACTCAGGAGGCTGAAATCTGAGGATTGAAGTTCAAAACCAGCTTGGGCAGGAAAGCCTATGAGACTCTTCTCCAACTGGCCAACAAAAGGCAGAAATGGAGTTGTGCCTCAAGTGGCAGAGTGCTAACTTTACAGCACCCAAGGCCCTGAGTTCAAGCAGAAATTACTGGAACAAAAAAAAATCCTATTTTCCTTGTGACCTCAGGGCCAAGATGCTGCTTTTTCACCCAAGGATGGTGATATACTACTTGATTTCAGACTAATGGGCACTCCTCCACTTCCAGCTTTTTGCTGGTTGTTTCCCAGATTTACCTGCCAGAATGGCTTTGAATCTTGATTCTCAGACCTCAGCCTCCTGAGTAGCTAGAATTATAGGAAACAAGCTGTTTTAACTTATAACCATTAAAAACCTAATAGTTTTAGTAATAAAAGCCTAATAGTAGATCTTTTATTTTTCATTGAAGTCTACCAATATAAAATTTTGGAAGTCATTTGGTATCCAAATGGGCACTGGTGGCTCATGACTATAATCATATCATCTTGGGAGGCTGAGATTTGAGATCAGAAGTTCACAGCCAGCCCAGGAAGACAAATCTTAAGACTCTTCAACTGAGCAGAAAAAAAGCCAGAAGTGGAGGTGTGGTTCAAGTGGTTGGGTGGCAGCCTCAAGCAAAAAAGCCAATTGAGAACACAAGGCTCAGAATTTAGGCCCCAGAATTGAAATGGAAGACTATTAAGTTGAACAGAAAGAACTTTACCTGTGTTTGTATACAACTGTTGTTTTTAGAACTATAAAGATAAATACATAATGTATGCATTTCTTTGGCTACTGTAATTACTACCAGGCTGAGTAAAACAGTTTTTTCTCAAAGTTCTGGAGGCCATTAGTTTGAAATCAAGCAGAGCCAGTTAGTTCTAAGAGCTGAGCAATGTATACGCCATGTCCTTCTCATAGTTTCTAGTGGCCAGTCTTAAGAATTCCTTGTCCTACATAAGTATCTCTGTCTTCATAAGGTTTTGTTTCCAATATTCTTCTCTTTATTATGAGGATACCAGCCACAGTGGGTCTCTCCTGAAATTCAGAATAATCTCATCTTGAGATCCTTAATTATAGCTACAAAGATCCTACTTCCAAATATGGTCACATTTCCAGATACAGTGGGTGTTAGGATATGGGCTTACTACCTGGTATGGGGGAAGGACTATTTATTAACCCAGTATAGATGATGAAAGTTGCATGATCAGCAATACATTGCTGGACAATTCCTAAGAAATACAATGAAGAGGGCTCGGAAATTTGGCTCAGGTGGTAAAGCAAAAGCCAAGGAGCAAAAGCCAAAGTTTTAGAAGAAACCATCCTTTCTCTCTCTCTCTCAAAAAAAATATATATATACACAAATAAAAATTGTTACTAAGTACTAGTGTTATGGAGAAAATAGACTTGAAAAATAAACTGCATGAAAGCATGTAAATACTTTTCAAACTAAAGTGGAGACCAGGCTAGTTTTAATTATTCATCTTTATTGGCAAAACACAGTTATATATGCAGTACATACTGACATAAATTTAAGATTGTTTATTGAAAACAAAAATGGATGTAAATTTTGCTACACAACAAAGCAAATATCTTAACACCGATTATAAGATTATCTAGAAGCAAGATGACCAAGAATAAATTAACTTGTTTGTAAAAAAAAATTACTAAGTAATGTTTAATAATAGAGCTGCCACATCAAATTGTCTCAGACTTGATCTCAATATGTAGCTTATTTTCTTTAATTTTTACTTGTGTAAAATCTATTTGAATGACAATAAATAAATACTTTCCTAAACACCCAACAGAGAAGTTTGAAAATAAAAAATTCACTTATAAACTATTAAGGCCTCTGAATGAATTTATTTAATAATTTGGTCCATTAGCCCTTTTCTGCTCATTCTGCCCAAATTTATCTCATTAACTCCAAATCTGAGAAAACATCAGAAGTGAGAAGTTTCAATTTTACCAATATATGAAATTATACATAAGAACAACCATGTGAAGAAGTATCTAATTTAACAAATTCTATGTGCAAAAGTAGAATATTTTACTTGTGGTAACTTTAACATGTATATTTAATCATATTTGATATTCTTTTATTCTAATGGCTATCTTAAAAAGTTAGGTTTCAAATGGTAGTAAAGCACATTTATATCAATTTACTGTATATATGTTTTTTAAAAATGAGACAAATCCTTATAAATCCAGATTTCTACTCTTCCTTCCCACGTGAAAGGTTTTTTATTTCCCCCGTTGGGTTCTGGGCCTTGAACTCAGGGCCTGGGTGCTGCCCCTGAGCGTCTTTATATTCAAGCCTAGTGCTATACAACTTGAGCCACAGTGTTACTTCCAGCTTTTTCTGAGCAGTTTACTGAAGAATTTCACAGACTTTCCTGCCCTGGCTGGCTTTGAACTGTGATCCTTAGATCTCAGCCTTCTGAGTAGCTAAGATTACAGGTGTGAGTCTGGCTCCCACATAAAAGGTTTAAGAAAAATCTTGCAGGTTATATGGACCAGATGGAACTTAAAATAGACCCAGAAACTTAAAAAAAAAAATCTATTTTTTTCTCTATCTTAAGAGTAATTACTTTTAAAAAAATGGGGGTGGGGAGAGGTTCCAGAAACCTTAGGAGTTCTGAGTTTACTTTGAAATGACCACACCTACCTTGCTTTCTCAAATATTTCAACTCTATTGGTTAAATGAACTAATATACTTAAATAATCAGAAGAGAAAAATCATGTTTTGTTAGTTGTGGGGCTTGAGCTCAGGGCCTGAGCAAAAAATCATATTTTCATTAACTGAGAACCAAAACTTTTTCAAAGGAGTAGTTGAACCTACTAAATATGTCTACTGTAAGACCTTCTTTCTTAGAAAGTAATATTCCTTCTCTTTCATTCTTGAAATGATCATTCATACAATTAAGTCATGGACAACTGTTAGCTAAGTATCAGTGATAGTAAATTATCTAGAAGTAAATTACAAAGATTCATGGTATATATTTTTTTTGTTGATCTTGACAAATGGATAAAATGTAGTCTGAGAATTTTCCATTAAAAAAAACACGACAAAAGCATTTATTTTAAATTGAGGTAATTCTATAAAATTCCAAACATTTATTGGGAGTATTTGTTTATCTGCAAGTAATCTAGAATAGTAACATCACTGTTACTTTTGAGAACTGCCTTGCTATATAGGTTCAACAGTCACTGTGAACATGTTTCATTGGGCCACCATACATTAGATCAGTTTCTGCTTCTCAATTATGTTCTGGAATAAGTTATGATAATTAACTATACTTTTTGTTGTTGCTACTGTTTTTTTTTTGGGGGGGGGAGTCCAGTACTGGAGCCTGGATGCTGCCCCTTACTTCATTCAAGACTGGTGCTCTACTTCTTTAGCTACAACTCCACTTCCATTTTTTGCTGGTTAATTGGAGATAAAGAGTCTTAACAGATTTTGTTGCCCAGCCTTGCTTCAAACCACGACCCTCAGATCCCAACTTCCTGAGTACCTAGGATTACAGGTGGAAGTCACTGGCGCCTGGCTTCTGTTGCTGTCATCTCTTTAACTAGGGAACTATATTTACTATAGATGGGAAAAAGGATTAATTGAAATTTGAGTTTTGTGTCATTCATTCATTCATTCACAGGCCAGTTCTAGTGACTAATGAAGCTGTGCCCGAGGCTCCAGACCTGGCACCCCTCAGCTCTTCCGCAGGCTCAGGTCACTACTGGTCACCAAGGCTGACAAAGATGTGCTGTCAGATACATCCTCCTTCCTCAAGTTCAGAAATGATTCTCGAGTGATCTGAAGAATCTCTCTCAAGCCTTTGTTTTCTTGCTGTTAGGAGGCAAGGGTAAACAAAGATGGTCACCACTTAGCCACAAGTGGAAGACAGACAACTATTTTAAGAATCTAAACATATACAGGCAAAACACATAAAAACCAAGTCCTGTAACTGGTATTGATAGGCAATATAGGCAATTGTGTGTGTGTGTGTGTGTGTGCGTGTGCGTGTTAGTACTGAGGTTTGAACTCAGGATCTGAGTACTATCCCTTTTGCTCAAGACTGTGCTCTGCCACTTGAACCATACCTCTACTTCCAGCTGGAGATAAAAGTTTCCTGGACTTTCCTGCCCAAGCTGGCTTTGAATTGTGATTCTCAGATCTTAGCCTCCCAAATTAGCTAGAATTACAGGTGTGAGCCACTGACACCCATCTCAAACTCTCTTGTTATATATACACATGTAACTGCATAACAAATTGTAGTATTTGTATGTACAAATATACCAGAGAAGAAGAAAAGAACACGTGTATTTATATAAACTCATAATGACAGGCAATGATATCCTGAGACTCAAACCTCTCCATATATCACTACTTTTCAGGATAGGACTAAATGTATTTCCCTCACTAGAATTTTGACAGCAATAGAACTGGCTGAATAGGTGATTTTTTTTTTTTTTGGTTAGTCATGGGACTTGAACACACTCTCTCTCTCTCTCTCTCACCGTTTTGTCTGTGATTTCCCTTCCTAAGTTTCAATAACAGAAAGCAGGAATTAGCAAGCCATGTGGCCTGAAGCCTGTCTCCCAGAATTTAATTTTACTGGAACACAGTAATCCCTATTTGATTTTGTGTTTGCTTTCAAATTACAGAGGCAGAACGAAGACAAGTGTAAACACTCTAAAATATTTGCTTTTTGGTCCTTAACTAAAGCAATGCCAATTCTTGTTATGTACATATTAGAACATTGTGTGCTTAGAGAGAGAAATCACTTTTGGGCTTCTAATACTGATTCCTGATCATGATTTCAAAATAAATTTTTTCCCCTTTTCTGTGCCAGAATTGGGGCTTGAACTTAGGTTCTGGTGCTGTCCTTTAGCTTTTCCACCAAAGTCTGGAGCTCTACTAGTTGAGCCACACCTCTCCTTCCAACTTTTTACTGCTGAATGGGAGATAAGAGTTGCTTAGATGGGGCTGGGAAGATGGCTCAGTGGTAGAGCGCGTGCCTTGCATGCCTGAGGCCCTGGGTTCCATTCCTCAGCACCACATAAGCAAAAAGAAAAAAGCCGGAAGTGGTGCTGTGGCTCAAGTGGTAGAGCGCTAGCCTTAGCTGAAGAGCTGAGGGACAGTGCCCAAGCCCAGAGTTCAGGCCCCACAACCGGACACCCACAAAAAAAAAAGAGTTGCTTAGATGTTTCTGCTTGGGCTGGCTTCAAACTATAATTCTCAGCCTCCTAAGTGCTAGGATTACAGGCATGAGCCACCAGCACCTAGGTTTAAAATAAAACTCTTTGGTGGGTCATGGGGCTTGAACTCTTGGCCTGGGCCCTGTCCCTCAGTTTTTTAGCTCAAGACTAGTGCTCTACCACTTGAGCCACAGCACCACTTCCAGTTTTCTGTGGGTAATTGGAGATAAGAGTCTCATGGGCTTTCCTGCCTGGGCTGGCTTTGAACTGTGATCCTCAGATCTCAGTCTCCAGAGCAGCTAGGATGACAGGCATGAGCCACCTGCATCTGGCCTTCATTTTGTTTTTTTGTTTTTTGTCAGTTGTGGGGCCTGAACTCTGGGCTTGGGCACTGTCCCTGAGCTCTTCAGCTCAAGGCTAGAGCTCTACCACTTGATCCACAGTGCCACTTCTGGCTTTTTCTGCTTCTGTGGTGCTGAGGAACCAAACCCAGGGCCTCATGCATGTGAGGCAAGCACTCTACCACTGAGCTACATTCCCAGCCACGTCATCATGATTTAACAGACTAAAAAATTATAAACTGTGCTAGGTATGAGTATTTCATACCTATAAATACTAGGTACTAAAGAAGCTGAGATTTGAGGATAATGATTTGAAATCAGTCCAAGCAGGAAAGTCCATGCAATTTTTTTTTTGTCAGTCGTGAGGCCTGAACTCTGGGCCTGGGCGCTGTTCCTCAGCTCTTCAGCTCAAAGCTAGCACTCTACCCCTTGAGCCACAGTGCCACTTCTGGCTTTTTCTGCTTATGTGGTGCTGAGGAATCGAACCCAGGGCCTCATGCATGTAAAGCAAGCACTCTACCACTGAGCCACCTTCCCAGCCCCTAGTCCATGAAATTCTTATCCCCCAATTAACCATCAAACATCCAAAAGTAGAGATGTGGCTCAAGTGGTAGAGGACTAGCCATGAGCAAAAAAGCATAGGGACACAACACCCAGGCTGAGTCCAAGCCCCAGGACTGGCCCATATACCCACATTCATACTCGCCCACCAACATACAAATTTATACATTGAAACTGTACATTTACCTAGTAAGAAAAGCAATATACAAAAAAAAAAAAATCAACATTCTTCTCCCCCCCCCACCACAAAGTGACATATGTCTTTACTATCATGTCCAGATGGGATGTGAGGGAAGGCAGAGGTGGGGGTGGGAGGGGGACCGGAAAGATTGTAAGCTAATGACTCCATGTCTCTGAACTACAGATTCTCCTGTGGAGTGGTATACTGTAAGTTACTAATGATCCTAGACTCCTGCATTGCTATAGAATGGTCTGACATGAATATATAATCTCCGATTAAGGAAAAGATTCCCCCATACACCTGAAGAGTGCGAATCTTACAAGATGGAATCCGTTTCCTGGTATGTCTATATGTGGACAGTTATCACCTACACTTGGAATTAAAAACTTACTTCGAGTTGGAATATCCGTTCTTGTTCCTTGCAACCTTGCTTCTCATCAATTTCAATGGCTTTCCTCATTACTGCTGCCATTTCAGTTATCTGGTCAACATGTGCCTGTAACTCCTGAAAGTAAAGGTTGGGAGTTGGGAATCAGTACGTCAGCGATATTTTACTATTCTGGTTTCTGGATCCCTTCCATATAATTACTAAAATCTGTACTATCAGTGAACACAAATGGGATAGTCAGATCACAACAAAGCTGGGTGACCATAGTACCTTAGAAGTTAAATTCATTAGGATAGAATTAAGGATAAGCAGCACAATATAACTAAACCAAATAGCAAGAAACTGACTCATTTCACATTTCTCATCACAACGATGAGCAACATTTTCTTTGTCATACTATTACACTATTATTGGTCCAAGCAAGACAAACTTGACACATTCAGTCTTTTTTCCCTGAAGCCTTCACAATTTATAAAATCTAAGCCAGTCTGGAACACTCTCTAGAACATCCTCCTCCTTCAGAGCAGGGACAGTTTCCTGTTTGTACCTGTCCAATCTTTAGTGTTTGGTACATAATAAATATTGATTAAGATGGACAAAATTCTGCCTTTCAGAGTTAAAATGTTAAATAGCCTTTTTGGTTAACTGCTGAAAATATACTCTCATTTGGCAGACATATAAATTCTTCCTTCTAGTCTATTTTAAAAAATTTTTTATTTAGCATACCTATTATGTACTTGGTGGGAGAGAATACGAAGCCTGTTAAAATATACCCTGACCTGAAAGAGCTTACAGGCTAGTGAATAATATAGACAAGAAGGTTTAAGTCAGCAGAAACTTGAGATTAGTCATTTTATCAATAGATAAATAGATTATAGATTCATATTCTATTCATTGGCAGTGGAAGTTACTTTACCATATCAAGGCTAGCCTAAAAAATAGAAAAATAACTTCCTGAACAGACATGAAGTTTCTTAAAAGTTGTATATAATCCTCTATAAAAATAATCTGAGGAGCTGGGAATGTTGCTTAGTGGTAGAGTGCTTGCCTAGCATGCATGAGGCCCTGGGTTTGATTCCTCAGTACCACATAAACAGAAAAAGCTGGGAGTGGTGCTGTGGCTCAAGTGGTAGAGTGCTAACTTTGAGCACAGAGAGGCTCAGGAACAGTGCCCAGGCCCAGAGTTCAAGCCCCAAGATTAGCAAAAAAAAAAAATAATAATAATCTGAACCAGACCTTAAAAACCATAAAACTACTAAATTGAAGGAAATGAAAAAAATAGAACTATCTCAGCACATTTAGCATCATATACACGCACACATGCGCACACACACGTGCGCGCGCGTACACACACACACACACACACACACACACACACACACACACACACACACACACACACACACACACACACACACACACGGTGGTATTAGAATTGAACCCAGGTTCTTCAACATGTTAGGCAAGAACTCCACCATTGAGGTACAACCTCAGCCCTACTGAATAACCTTTAAAACAAAAATGCAGGATCTTAGTGCAGCATATGGTTTTAGTGTTGGGGATCAAACCCAGGGCCTTATACAAGCTAAGCATGTGCTCTATCTGAGCCAAACGCCCTGTACTGCTTATTTTATTTTAAGAAGCTTATATGATTTGAGTTGTGAGGACTTGGGAAGAAGGTGAAATAAAAGACTAATCTCTGCACCCAGTATTTTGCTATATGAAAATAAAACCCACTGAAAAATGAGGAATTCTATCTCAGGTGCACTAGTAATACTTTTAAATAAATACTCAAGTCACATGTAGCTAAGTGGCCTCCACACAAAGAAGATAAAGACTATTTCCATCATTTCACAAAGTTTTTCTGGACAGACTTAAGCAATTAGATTATGATAGCAAAATGAATCAAGATAATATTTTCCATATTCTGTAATAGTTAAAAAAAATCCCCCAAACCCTCCCTCTACAGTAAAGCAAATGTAATGTTTAAAATCAATAAAGTACTGATAAATGCAGTACCCAATTAAGTAAATAAAAATTTTTGATTATTAATAATTTTCTCAATTTGTTTGGTTAGCTCTGTGGTGCTGATCTAGAGTAATAACACAAGTAATTCAGCAAACAGATATTAAATTTTTAGGATAGAACCTGTTCTAACAAGATCATTAGAAGAAACACCCCACCCAAAACTTCAAACAGAGCAATATTTTTGTAAGGCCTAATGGTTAGTGGTCTACTTGTCAAATGTAAAAATCCTTAAGAAATACAGAGCCAGGTGCAGGTGGTGCTCACCTGTAATTCTAGATACTCAGGAAGCTGAGAGCTGAGGATCATGGTTGGGCAGGAAAGTCCATAAGACTCTTATCTACAGAAAACCACAAGTAGAGCTGTGGCTCAAAGTGATAGAGTGCTAGCCTTGAGCAGACACTGCTCAGGGACGGCATGTAGGCCCTGAGTTCAAGACCCACAACTGATGGAAAAAAGAAAAACAAAGCTTTTAATTGCCAGAGAAAGCAAGAAGTATGACTTTAGAACTGTTTTGAAGCCACAAAGAACAGCATAATCTTTGAATTGTTGTGAAATGCCTTTCATTCTTGTTTGCATTCATCCCCATTTTGCTCAATAATGATCTGACATAGTTGAGATTTTCAAAAGTAAAAGTGAAGACACCATGGAGAAAGAACTACTATATTTAACTATAATGTCTGCATAAAAAGTATCTTTTTTTATTTGTGAACTCAAACTAAAGGAAAATGAACTAACGTTTGTTATGAAATTAGTTAAGTTCTATGAACATGTTTGATGTCTAGAAAGTGTTTTCCAGCCTTTCAAATCTGCAGTCCTCTAACAGACTGCACATGCTACACAGAATGGAGGAATAATTCAAACTTTTAACCTTGAACAGTCTACCGTATGAAAACCACATCATTCTTTGATTTTGTTTACTGGCTTGTCTAATCTGGGAAGAAAATTCGAAGTAAAAGAAGTTTCTAAACCGATCCCCCCTCCCATCCACACCCAATAAGTTGATTGTTTTGTTTAGTGTACATTATGATTTGCTTCCCAGTGCCTCCTCTCCAGGCCGTGTTGAGGTCCTTCAGGGATGGGTCGAGATGCATCAAGGAAAAATCCCTCGGAGCTGTTACGATGGACCATGTCAATCTGTAGTACAGAGTCATTGTAATGTTAATACGGACATTATCCGTAATTTCAAGAACAAATGAGTGTTAGTTCATGTATGTTAGCCAATGGTTTGAATGTTTGTTCTTTTAAGATTTCCAAAAAGGTTATCTGTTCAAAAAGAATGGAAAAATAGTATTTGCACGAAAATGAGTTCTCAAACAACATGTGCCCTCAAAAAACGCTGGGGTTTGTACCGATCCTACAATAGTTTCAAAAGGTTTCTAACTACAAAATGCTGCTATGTATGTATAGTTTTTTGTACGTGTGAGGGGGAGGGGGGATGGTGTTTAGGCGTATCAGAGCACTAGTACCTAAACGCATCCTAGAATATGTTTCTTTTTTTTTTTCCTTCTGGTCCTGAGACTTGACTTAGGGCCTGGGCACTGTCCCTGAGCTTCTTTTTGCTCAAAGCTAGGACTCTACTAGTAGAACCACAGTATCACTTCCAACTTTTGCTGAGTAGTTTATCACGGATAAGAGTCTCATGGACGTTTCTACCTGGGCTGGCTTCAATTAGTGATCTTAAGATCCCAGCCTCTTGAGTTGCTACTAGGATTACAGGCATAAGCAACTGGCACCCGGCTTAGAATTTTATTGTTGTTGTGACTTTACCCTACTTATTTGCTTACCCATTTCTGCTTATTAAACTACCCCATAATTCATTCAAGGCTGGATTTAGATGAATTTTCTTTTTTTCTCTGACATTATTCTAGATTCTCCTCATGAGAACTTTAATACTGCAGTAACTGATCATATTTCTATGATACCTTATCTTCTATTACATAGTTATGCTAGTGTCTTTAATCTCTCCATTATACGGGAAGCTCATATTAGTGTGTTAATAGAAGTTTATTTAGTTGAACTTTCAGTGTCTCCTTTTTGGGAAAAATCAAAAGCACAAACATTAATGTGTATTAGTTGAAATTAATAACTAAATTTGATAGAAGGTAAAATCAGCACTTGGATTTAATTTACATGAATAATAATTTATATGAAAATAGTTTATAACTATCTTATGGAGTGTTTTAACTGCTAATTAAAAGTTCTGGTAAATGGTAAAATAAAACATCTATTTAAGCTACACACCTAATATGCTTTAGAAAACATTTGCTCTGTCATGGTTTAGTCACATGGAACTAGAAAGCTGCACTGTCTTAAACACCTATTTTGTGTGTATCATGGAATTCCTTATCTTCAAAATTTTTATTTTTCAGTGGAGGTACGGCTTAAGTGATATAGCACCATCCTTCAGTGAACAAGCCAAGCAAGAGCATGTGGCCCTTAGTTCAAGCCCTAGTACGGGCACACATTCTTATTTTTCAAGATGTAAACCATAAGGGCCTTTGGAAATTTTCAATATTACATTATCTTACCAAAAATTTTAAGTCAATGTTCTTTATAATGTTCTCATAAATGACAGATTTTTACATTGAAAACTATCCCTAAATGTCCAAGGATCTCCATTTTAATAGGTGGCAAATACTGTAATTAGATTATATAAACCCAATTTTATTATTTTTCAATAACTGAGAATGATAAAAATGTATCTTATAATGTTAGCAAAAACTAATAGTAGTTTACCATGATCTATTACAGATACTGGCCTAGTTGCCACAATGTAACTTTTCATTCACATCAGCAATCCTAGCTACTCAGGAGGCTGAGATCTGAGGACTGCAGTTCAAAGCTAACCCAGGCAGAAAAGTCTGTAAGACTCTTATCTCTAATTATGCACCAAAAAAAGCTGGAAGTGTAGCTGTGGCTCAGTGGTAAAGAGTGCCAGCCTTGAGCAAAAACATTCAACTCATAGCACCCAGACCCCGAGTTCAAGACCCAGGACTGGCATACAAACACAAAAAATATAAATGTCCAGCAAATCTAGGGGTCATAGCAAAGAGAAAAGATACAAGCATGACAAAAGATAAGCAGCAGGAGAAGATACTCATGTCTCATAATTTCAGTTCTATGATGCAATAATGGAGAGGGACTACATTTTAATAGGTTGGGTCCTTTCTTCTTCCCAATCCCATGGTTTGCCATTACAAATCAGGATTATTCATAATCTGGGTGAATTAGTGTCATCCAGAATATAGCTGTAAGAAAAGCAAAGCTACAGTTAACTGCTTTCAGTCTTTAAAAAAATCTTTTAGGGGCTGGGAAGGTGGCTCAGTGGTAGAGTGCTTGCCTTGCATGCATGAAGCCCTGGGTTGGATTCCTCAGCACCACATAAGCAGAAAAAGCCCGAAGTGGTGCTGTGGCTCAAGTGGTAGAGTGCTAGCCTTGAGCTGAAGAGCTGAGGAACAGGGCCCAGAATCAGGCCCCACGACTGACAAAAAAAAAAATCTTTTCAATATTTTGAATTTTATTTTTACAAGACTTATGTATAACCCAAATGTAGAAGAAATATTTCTTCAAAACAAAGACTCTTACAAAAAATAATTTTGAATCTTAAGAGACTTACCTTCATTTTCAAAAATTTATTTTTTTAATGTATACCTATACCTACACACACACACACACACACACACACACACACACACACACAACCAGGAAACAATGCTTTCATCATTAGAACCAATCCTACAGAAAATGATATATAATGAAGAATTAGAAAAAGAAAAAGCAGAATATGTCAAGGAAAAAGATGCAGTATTTAATATTATTAAAGTGTGTTAATGCAAATCTGTGATTTTTAAAAACTCTAAATCCCATACTTGTCCCTCTATTCCATCTGAAGCCCCACTATGGAATGGATTACCTTGGAATGCTGCTCTTTTAACTTCATTATTATCCCAGGATCATCTCTTTTGCTAGCCATTAGCAGTCTAAACATCTGTTCTCGGTACTTGCTCATTATAAGTTCCAAGGCGGACTGATGCTCTTCCAAGGATGTACGTAATTCTATCAAAAATAAGTTTATTGTACTCAAACTTGAGTTAAGCATATATAAAATATCTTCCATATTACATTATACAAATATCAACTGACAACTTAGAAGGAAAAAAAAAGATAAATATCTACCCATAGACAGGTGCTGGTAGGTCACGTCTGAAACCCATCTATCTACTCAGGAGACAGATATGAGGGTCTCCATATGTAGCCAGCCCACATATAAAAATCCATGAGACTCTTATCTCCAGTTAACCACTAAAGGGTCAGAAGTGAAACTGTGACTCAAATCATAGAGCATTAGCCTTGAGAGAAAAAGCTAAGAGACAGTGCCCATGCCAACTCAGTACCAGTACAAAAATACATACATATCTATATCTAGCCAAAGGTCATAGAATTTAGAGTCTAATGGAGAGAACAAATACAGGGTAAGCACTGAGCTAGTACCCCAAGCAGTAGGACTTCAGGCAATGAAGTTTGTGTAATTCATAGGCAAAAAAAGTAATGAGAATTTGAAATGATGCCAACCACATAAGACAGTATATAAATTGCAATAAATATGATTAAGGCAAAAAAGATTAAAACCCTTAAGTTGGCTCTTTTCCTATTTGGGAAGCAAACTATTCCCTCCAATACCACAACTAGGGATTAAAGTCTCTGCAGCTTCTACACATAGTGGCCATTGGTCTTGCCTTTGTTCTCTTGTTGCAGTTCTCTGATTTGTCTGTTTTCTTGCTGGATTCCCATAACTAACGTGGACCTAGGTCGATGCCTTGCAACTTCATTAAGTTCTTGAATTTCTTCCTGGTACTAATGAGAAGATTGAAAAATAACATTGTGGGGAGGAAATATTTACGAACTTATATTTGACATGTAAAAAAAATATGAACAGCCCCTCAAAAAATTAAACATAAGGAGAAATGAAAACATATTTCTACCCAAAAACTTGTTTACAGATATTCATAGCAAATATCACTGGATACAAATAGGAATAAAGGAGTGATACATGCTACAGCATAAATAGATCATGAAAACACTGTTAAGCAGTAATTACTAAAAGCCACTTACTGTATCATTTCATTTATATAAAATATCCAGAATAGGCAAACTCAGAGACAGATAAGTAGGGTTGGGGTTAGGCAGGTAAAATTAAACTAGTAAGAAGGGAGGTTTGGGGTGATCAAGGTATCTGGTTTGTGTGTTTTTGGTCTTTTTTTCCCCTATGGTGTATCCTCTGTTCTCACTGTATTTGATTTTGGTACCCTGGGTATTGTATATACATTTATCTGAATTAGGGAAAGAAAGGGGAACAACAAAATGGTGAGACAAAGCGTGAACCAATGCAACAGCAATACTCACGTAACAATATGTTGGAAATGAACTGTACAATTTGGGGAGGAACTTGGGGGGAAAGTGGGAGAAAAATGAGGGAGGGAGCAACAAGTTGGACAATAAATGTACTCACTACCTTATGTGTGTAACTGTAACCCCTCTACACATCACCTTGACAATAAAATTAAAAAAAAATACATAAAAGACTTAAAAAAAGGGGAAAAAAAGAAAGTATCTAGTTGTACTGTCTATCAATATATTAGAATCCAATGACCTGCATGCTTCCAAACTTTAGGAGTTGGTGACTTTTTAGTATATGTGAATGATGTAACAATGATAGTAAGTGATATAAAGCTTATACAAAAGAAATGTAAGATGATTTTATTTTTTCCAGTTGTGGGGCTTAAACTCTGGGCCTGGGTGCTGTCCCTGAGCTCTTCAGCTCAAGGCTAGCCCTCTACCACTTGAGTCACAGTGCCACTTCTGGCTTTTTCTGCTTATGTGGTGCTGAGGAATCGAACCCAGGGCCTCATGCATGTAAAGCAAGCACTCTACCACTGAGCCACCTTCCCAGCCCCTAGTCCATGAAATTCTTATCCCCCAATTAACCATCAAACATCCAAAAGTAGAGATGTGGCTCAAGTGGTAGAGGACTAGCCATGAGCAAAAAAGCATAGGGACACAACACCCAGGCTGAGTCCAAGCCCCAGGACTGGCCCATATACCCACATTCATACTCGCCCACCAACATACAAATTTATACATTGAAACTGTACATTTACCTAGTAAGAAAAGCAATATACAAAAAAAAAAAAATCAACATTCTTCTCCCCCCCCCACCACAAAGTGACATATGTCTTTACTATCATGTCCAGATGGGATGTGAGGGAAGGCAGAGGTGGGGGTGGGAGGGGGACCGGAAAGATTGTAAGCTAATGACTCCATGTCTCTGAACTACAGATTCTCCTGTGGAGTGGTATACTGTAAGTTACTAATGATCCTAGACTCCTGCATTGCTATAGAATGGTCTGACATGAATATATAATCTCCGATTAAGGAAAAGATTCCCCCATACACCTGAAGAGTGCGAATCTTACAAGATGGAATCCGTTTCCTGGTATGTCTATATGTGGACAGTTATCACCTACACTTGGAATTAAAAACTTACTTCGAGTTGGAATATCCGTTCTTGTTCCTTGCAACCTTGCTTCTCATCAATTTCAATGGCTTTCCTCATTACTGCTGCCATTTCAGTTATCTGGTCAACATGTGCCTGTAACTCCTGAAAGTAAAGGTTGGGAGTTGGGAATCAGTACGTCAGCGATATTTTACTATTCTGGTTTCTGGATCCCTTCCATATAATTACTAAAATCTGTACTATCAGTGAACACAAATGGGATAGTCAGATCACAACAAAGCTGGGTGACCATAGTACCTTAGAAGTTAAATTCATTAGGATAGAATTAAGGATAAGCAGCACAATATAACTAAACCAAATAGCAAGAAACTGACTCATTTCACATTTCTCATCACAACGATGAGCAACATTTTCTTTGTCATACTATTACACTATTATTGGTCCAAGCAAGACAAACTTGACACATTCAGTCTTTTTTCCCTGAAGCCTTCACAATTTATAAAATCTAAGCCAGTCTGGAACACTCTCTAGAACATCCTCCTCCTTCAGAGCAGGGACAGTTTCCTGTTTGTACCTGTCCAATCTTTAGTGTTTGGTACATAATAAATATTGATTAAGATGGACAAAATTCTGCCTTTCAGAGTTAAAATGTTAAATAGCCTTTTTGGTTAACTGCTGAAAATATACTCTCATTTGGCAGACATATAAATTCTTCCTTCTAGTCTATTTTAAAAAATTTTTTATTTAGCATACCTATTATGTACTTGGTGGGAGAGAATACGAAGCCTGTTAAAATATACCCTGACCTGAAAGAGCTTACAGGCTAGTGAATAATATAGACAAGAAGGTTTAAGTCAGCAGAAACTTGAGATTAGTCATTTTATCAATAGATAAATAGATTATAGATTCATATTCTATTCATTGGCAGTGGAAGTTACTTTACCATATCAAGGCTAGCCTAAAAAATAGAAAAATAACTTCCTGAACAGACATGAAGTTTCTTAAAAGTTGTATATAATCCTCTATAAAAATAATCTGAGGAGCTGGGAATGTTGCTTAGTGGTAGAGTGCTTGCCTAGCATGCATGAGGCCCTGGGTTTGATTCCTCAGTACCACATAAACAGAAAAAGCTGGGAGTGGTGCTGTGGCTCAAGTGGTAGAGTGCTAACTTTGAGCACAGAGAGGCTCAGGAACAGTGCCCAGGCCCAGAGTTCAAGCCCCAAGATTAGCAAAAAAAAAAAATAATAATAATCTGAACCAGACCTTAAAAACCATAAAACTACTAAATTGAAGGAAATGAAAAAAATAGAACTATCTCAGCACATTTAGCATCATATACACGCACACATGCGCACACACACGTGCGCGCGCGTACACACACACACACACACACACACACACACACACACACACACACACACACACACACACACACACACACACACACACGGTGGTATTAGAATTGAACCCAGGTTCTTCAACATGTTAGGCAAGAACTCCACCATTGAGGTACAACCTCAGCCCTACTGAATAACCTTTAAAACAAAAATGCAGGATCTTAGTGCAGCATATGGTTTTAGTGTTGGGGATCAAACCCAGGGCCTTATACAAGCTAAGCATGTGCTCTATCTGAGCCAAACGCCCTGTACTGCTTATTTTATTTTAAGAAGCTTATATGATTTGAGTTGTGAGGACTTGGGAAGAAGGTGAAATAAAAGACTAATCTCTGCACCCAGTATTTTGCTATATGAAAATAAAACCCACTGAAAAATGAGGAATTCTATCTCAGGTGCACTAGTAATACTTTTAAATAAATACTCAAGTCACATGTAGCTAAGTGGCCTCCACACAAAGAAGATAAAGACTATTTCCATCATTTCACAAAGTTTTTCTGGACAGACTTAAGCAATTAGATTATGATAGCAAAATGAATCAAGATAATATTTTCCATATTCTGTAATAGTTAAAAAAAATCCCCCAAACCCTCCCTCTACAGTAAAGCAAATGTAATGTTTAAAATCAATAAAGTACTGATAAATGCAGTACCCAATTAAGTAAATAAAAATTTTTGATTATTAATAATTTTCTCAATTTGTTTGGTTAGCTCTGTGGTGCTGATCTAGAGTAATAACACAAGTAATTCAGCAAACAGATATTAAATTTTTAGGATAGAACCTGTTCTAACAAGATCATTAGAAGAAACACCCCACCCAAAACTTCAAACAGAGCAATATTTTTGTAAGGCCTAATGGTTAGTGGTCTACTTGTCAAATGTAAAAATCCTTAAGAAATACAGAGCCAGGTGCAGGTGGTGCTCACCTGTAATTCTAGATACTCAGGAAGCTGAGAGCTGAGGATCATGGTTGGGCAGGAAAGTCCATAAGACTCTTATCTACAGAAAACCACAAGTAGAGCTGTGGCTCAAAGTGATAGAGTGCTAGCCTTGAGCAGACACTGCTCAGGGACGGCATGTAGGCCCTGAGTTCAAGACCCACAACTGATGGAAAAAAGAAAAACAAAGCTTTTAATTGCCAGAGAAAGCAAGAAGTATGACTTTAGAACTGTTTTGAAGCCACAAAGAACAGCATAATCTTTGAATTGTTGTGAAATGCCTTTCATTCTTGTTTGCATTCATCCCCATTTTGCTCAATAATGATCTGACATAGTTGAGATTTTCAAAAGTAAAAGTGAAGACACCATGGAGAAAGAACTACTATATTTAACTATAATGTCTGCATAAAAAGTATCTTTTTTTATTTGTGAACTCAAACTAAAGGAAAATGAACTAACGTTTGTTATGAAATTAGTTAAGTTCTATGAACATGTTTGATGTCTAGAAAGTGTTTTCCAGCCTTTCAAATCTGCAGTCCTCTAACAGACTGCACATGCTACACAGAATGGAGGAATAATTCAAACTTTTAACCTTGAACAGTCTACCGTATGAAAACCACATCATTCTTTGATTTTGTTTACTGGCTTGTCTAATCTGGGAAGAAAATTCGAAGTAAAAGAAGTTTCTAAACCGATCCCCCCTCCCATCCACACCCAATAAGTTGATTGTTTTGTTTAGTGTACATTATGATTTGCTTCCCAGTGCCTCCTCTCCAGGCCGTGTTGAGGTCCTTCAGGGATGGGTCGAGATGCATCAAGGAAAAATCCCTCGGAGCTGTTACGATGGACCATGTCAATCTGTAGTACAGAGTCATTGTAATGTTAATACGGACATTATCCGTAATTTCAAGAACAAATGAGTGTTAGTTCATGTATGTTAGCCAATGGTTTGAATGTTTGTTCTTTTAAGATTTCCAAAAAGGTTATCTGTTCAAAAAGAATGGAAAAATAGTATTTGCACGAAAATGAGTTCTCAAACAACATGTGCCCTCAAAAAACGCTGGGGTTTGTACCGATCCTACAATAGTTTCAAAAGGTTTCTAACTACAAAATGCTGCTATGTATGTATAGTTTTTTGTACGTGTGAGGGGGAGGGGGGATGGTGTTTAGGCGTATCAGAGCACTAGTACCTAAACGCATCCTAGAATATGTTTCTTTTTTTTTTTCCTTCTGGTCCTGAGACTTGACTTAGGGCCTGGGCACTGTCCCTGAGCTTCTTTTTGCTCAAAGCTAGGACTCTACTAGTAGAACCACAGTATCACTTCCAACTTTTGCTGAGTAGTTTATCACGGATAAGAGTCTCATGGACGTTTCTACCTGGGCTGGCTTCAATTAGTGATCTTAAGATCCCAGCCTCTTGAGTTGCTACTAGGATTACAGGCATAAGCAACTGGCACCCGGCTTAGAATTTTATTGTTGTTGTGACTTTACCCTACTTATTTGCTTACCCATTTCTGCTTATTAAACTACCCCATAATTCATTCAAGGCTGGATTTAGATGAATTTTCTTTTTTTCTCTGACATTATTCTAGATTCTCCTCATGAGAACTTTAATACTGCAGTAACTGATCATATTTCTATGATACCTTATCTTCTATTACATAGTTATGCTAGTGTCTTTAATCTCTCCATTATACGGGAAGCTCATATTAGTGTGTTAATAGAAGTTTATTTAGTTGAACTTTCAGTGTCTCCTTTTTGGGAAAAATCAAAAGCACAAACATTAATGTGTATTAGTTGAAATTAATAACTAAATTTGATAGAAGGTAAAATCAGCACTTGGATTTAATTTACATGAATAATAATTTATATGAAAATAGTTTATAACTATCTTATGGAGTGTTTTAACTGCTAATTAAAAGTTCTGGTAAATGGTAAAATAAAACATCTATTTAAGCTACACACCTAATATGCTTTAGAAAACATTTGCTCTGTCATGGTTTAGTCACATGGAACTAGAAAGCTGCACTGTCTTAAACACCTATTTTGTGTGTATCATGGAATTCCTTATCTTCAAAATTTTTATTTTTCAGTGGAGGTACGGCTTAAGTGATATAGCACCATCCTTCAGTGAACAAGCCAAGCAAGAGCATGTGGCCCTTAGTTCAAGCCCTAGTACGGGCACACATTCTTATTTTTCAAGATGTAAACCATAAGGGCCTTTGGAAATTTTCAATATTACATTATCTTACCAAAAATTTTAAGT